TTGTGGTGGGAGACAGTAGTAACCATGGAGAGTACAGTGCTAGGAGTTAAAGTCAAGGTTAAGCTTAAGTAATAAGATTGATGGCAAAAAGAAGAGAGATGCTCAAGGTGTAGTGGGTTGAAATAATAGTTATCTTTGTGGTCTTCAATCTACTTTACAGGGCAGACATGTTTACAGGAGAGGGAAAAGATCTGTATCAAAGAAAACACTTATATGGAAGAGAGAGGGTTGAAATCACAGGAGGAGACATCAGCTTAAGCAAAAAGAGACTGTACCATCTCATTGGCTGTTTCAACAATAATTTTCTACTAAAAGTAAAAAACACATCCCAACATCACGTATATAAAGATGTCTGCATTGTTTAATGTTTTGTATTAAGAACTGAGTCACCCGATTTTGTAACCAAAGACCTCATTTCAAGTTTCTATCTCTACCACTTGCTAGTGGGACAACTATTCCTAACTATTCCACCAGATTATTGTGAGGACAAAATAGTCATATAGGTTAAATTTGTCGAGGGCCCAGTAAACGTTAAATGCTATTTCTTTTACCCAACACTCGAAAACGTTGACTGATTCGGAAAACCAGCTGACCAGCCCAGCTGTCATTGCAATGAATTATAGCTGGGGCATGAGTAGTTGAGAGAAATTAAGAACTGGGTAAAAGGTTAGTAGGCTTAGTGAACGTTCCACTTTGTCTAAAACACGGAAAAATTCTGCAGCAATAGAACATAATTTGAGACCTGAATCATAGAAAAAAGTTCTGAAGAAGGCACAGATATATATCAGAGACTCTCGTTTGAGAGTTTGTTTAAGCAAGTCATAGTCTGGGCATTGCCGCATAATAAAAATCTCATAAGGAAGTCCTGAGCTTCCTCACATATCTCAAATCCATATCACAGACATGAGGGCTGCGAGAGAATGGTTCCAACTTGTCTGAGCTGAGCCATGGTACCAGCAGCTTATCCCCACCAGGGCCTTTGGTTTGATCCTTTAAGGAGAGCTACAGCTGCGAAAGTCTGTAGGCTGGTTTCAGGGATGTGCTTTCTATAAGCATTTTCCAGAGTGTCTACTAAATTATCCAGAAGAGGAAATATTATTGGCAAACAAATTAATAAAATGCTCAAAATCATCAGAGACTGCATGGTTATAAGATGGTGCGTAAATAGGCAAAAGTAAATATGCAGTGCTTCATTCAAAATCTCCACTCAATGGATATATCCAAATTTTTCCTGATAGTTTAAATAATTTTAATCTCAGGAGAGTAAAAGAAGTAAAAATCTAACCATGTCCACGAGACTTTTTGCAGACAACTTAGCCCAATGAGATGTGGCCCTTTTATTTGTGTCACTTGGTATCTATTTATTCAGTGATTTATTCATTCATTAGTTCATTCAACAATCATTTGTAAAGAGCTACTAAGTTGAGTTAGCAACTACAAACTGCAATTTCATGAGTTTTGGTAAAGGAAATAAGGGCGATTGAGTGGTAGCTTGAAGGAGAAGGTTCTTTCAGGCCTGAGGGACAGGGTGGTGGCATGGAGACATTGTTGTAGACATGATGGAATTAATGTAACCAGCCTAGTGTCTCACAACATTTTCTGTCTGTTAGGGAGGCAAAATTTCTATATCCAGAGTGTCATGTCTGGTGATCGGAGTACCACAAAGACTGCTAGGAGGTGGACTGGAGTTGCACAGATGCATATCAATGAGTGACTTAGGGTTGATACTTCAATCATTTCTACCTGGAGGGTAACCATGAGGACTGAAGTAACCAATAGGTGCAAAGTGTCTGTTGAGTGTCTGGCACACAGTGGTTGTCCACAAATCTACCACGTGGCCATATGTAGGGAGAATATATGGGGTGGGACAAATCTTTCCCTCATGTTACTCCAAAATCAAAAATAGCATTAAATATTTAAGATTTCTGGCTAAAAAGAGGTCCTACAAGACTTGTAGGACAAAAAAAAAAAAAAATAGAAAATATTTCTGACACTCAAATTGAAGTATAAAATTAAGAAGGTTGAATTTCCAAGCATAAACAAATATGAAGCAAGAGTGAAATTCCAAGATTCAATTTAATATGGAAAAGTACAAACATATTTGAGTCCTTCCACAGAGCAGCCAGCACGAAGCGACCAGGAAAACCATGGAAATAATTCGCCTATTTGGAAAGAGTCAGGAGTCAGTTGACACAGCCACACTCATAAGAACACTCTTAAGCCTGTCATTCTCCCAGGGGATAAAGGGTAGAGGAATAATTTTCACAAAATTACATTCAAAAGTGATTATGGGGAAAGAAAAAGCTCCCAGAGAAAAAATATCCAAATGTGAAGAACATTGAAGCTTTAACACATCTCGAGCTTCTTGGAAACTACGCAATGTCCAGGCATTGCTAGGATTTTAGTAGGATTTAATCCCCCACTTTATGTTCTAGATTTTTATGTTTTCTTTTTCACTCTCAAATAGATCACACACTAGCACTAGCCCAGAAGTTACATGTGCTCTGCTATGAATACCTAACTGGAAATTTCAGGATTCAGGACCCCGTGAATCTTTGAGGCTTGCCACTTAACCAACACTTAATTTAAAATTCTTTGTTATTTTAGGAAGAAGTTTAATGTAAATCTATTTTAAGTAGCCAGCTTCCAATCCATGTCAGCATCCTCGAAGTTGGGACGAAACACTTAGAGCTTTTAGGTCAAGAGCTCTGGACTCAGACCAGGAGAAAAAGATGTTAGTCCAAGCTCTATTCACTCTTTTCTCCCACCCCTGTCCTCCTATCCCCAAAGAGGTGTGACCTGGGCCTGTGGGCAACCTCTCTGTCCTTTAGTTTCTTCATTTGGAAAATCAGGATGCTGGACTAGAACCGTGGTTTTTGAGCTTCACTGCACCGAATCCTTATCATTCCATAGAAAATGGGGACTTTGCTAGAGAAGAGGGTTGGGGGACAAACTGAGAGTGATGTAGGTGGGACTCCCAGTAGCCATCCCCTGCTTCCAACAGAGTACTTCTGCTTTCATCCAGTTTGCAAATTGATTTTCCAAAAGGGATTTTGTTTACAAAAGTTTGAAAATTTCTAGACTGTAGTATATATAGACTCTTGCCAGATGGAACATTTCATGAAACTCTTCCAGGGTGATATCTTACATGATTTCTTGCCCAATTCCAGGTGGTCATAACAGTATTCTGAGTTAACCCTGTGACCCTTGTTCCCCAGGCCCCAGTGGAGCTGGGGGCAACCTATTCACACTGACCAGATTCCCCAATATAAGGGTGTGTCTGCCACCCCTTGACTTTGAAAATGCAGTCTGTTCAACCTCTAATATAAAGAGCTCCCTTCAGTATTTTCCTTGTCTATGCTGGAGTCACTTCAATTGCTGTGTTCTTTGGTCTTCACCCCACCCTCCATCTGATGCCTGTGAGCAGAGGATTTCATCTTCCTGAGAGCTTCCTCCTATTCCTCTTACCATCTCAAACTCACATATTCCTTCACTTAGATGAGGAAGTTGCGGTCAAATGATTGGAGAGGAAATAAGCTCTTTCACATCAATCCAACATATATTGAAACAATATTTATGCGTAAGATGTTGTTCTTAGTGTGACAAGGAAAACGGAAATCAGTCAGGTGAGAAAGCAAATCTGACATGGTAGGAAAGGTGGGAGAACCACCAGATGCTGGAGTGGAAGAATATAGGCAAGTGTTTCTCAACTTTATGTCTCATTTAAACACTTGCAAGGAAGGAACGTGTGGCATGAGTAGAGGAAGCTACAGATTTAGATCAGCTTTTCTCACCAAGAGTGAAACGGATACCACTGGTGGCCCCCAAGACACTTTAACGTGGAACGTGAATACATAAGTGTTCATTTTTCATTACATAGCCATGTATTTATTTTAACGTGCATACAAAAACAATAATCCATTAAACTATGGTTTTACAGATATGATAGCCTATAATGAGGCAAAACATTTAAAATACATTTAAAGAAAAATACAAAAGCAATACTAGAGGTAGCATTAAGATTTGGCAAAAATCATGATGGAAGTAGGAGAATCTAAGGAAGGTCAGGAAACAGGACTTGACCAGCTCCAGAGTCTCTTCTACCTCAACATTGTCTGGTAAAACTTTGTACAACTTTATACAGACCTCCATTAAAGCCATCTTAAGGTGTCCCATAAGATGTATATTCACTAATTAGCCCCCTCCCATAGTAATTGGTGCACAGAAGATACTAAATAAGATCTTTTGAGTGAATGAATGAATGAATGCGTAAATACATGAATGAATGCTTACATGAAAGAATAAATAATTGCTCCTGAGCCCCAAGGAGCAAAGATGTGCTCACATTGAAGGGAACAAGGATGATTAAAAATAAGATGCCAGACTCACACATGGTCTTTTGCCAGCCCCTGCCTCATCTGGTACATTCTGACAGGTTTCAGAGAAGGATCCCATTTGTCCCATGATGCCGATGGGCAGCGTCTACACAGGGTGAGGAGTTCTCTCAAACCCCACCTGTGAACAGGGGTCTTCTCCTCAAGTTCTGAAACCCTGGGCCTGAATGAAGATTAAGGGAACCATGGTGAATGGAAATAGTGTACCACGGAGTTTAGCAAAGGCCGAAGGGAACAGCACTGAACCCAGGTGAGCCATCCCAAAGTGAGTGCCTGCGGAGCTAAACTTCAGTCAGTACAGGTGCGGAACAGCCATAGAGCATACGGTGTCAGTAATTCTGCCCTCTGCCCTGGAGCAAGGTGTGTGTACAACCCAGAGCATTTTACGACCAGAGAATCAAGTAGCAAAGCCTATTTTTTAAAAAGTTCATGGAGCACTCTGTGATCTGTGTCTATAGTAAGGCCTTTCTCAAATAGGATAGAAATGAATTGGGGAAAACAACAGTTTACACAGTGAAGTGTGTCTCCTTCACGCACGTCCTGTTTGATATTAATCATAAGATTACAACACCAAGCGTATCCAAATAATCTGCTTGGAGTCATCATTTCTGATGATTGCTTAGGTTGTTCATTGCTAATCAAGAGGATGTTATGAAATGTGAGTCAGACAGCCTCTAGCTTTCTGGAAGTGCAAGGGCTCTATATATAAGGAGGGAGCTTCCTACTTGAGGTATTGGAGCTGCAGGAGGTAGGGAGGCATCAGATTCCTTTCGCCAAGAAGGAAGACAGAAGCCAGCATGCCCAGCCTTCCTCTGCTGCTGCTGCTACTCTGGGGCGTGGGGTCTCATGGCTTCCCAACAGTGCCTTCAGAAACAGAAGAGCAAGATGCAGAGATTGTCCAGGTAAATGCTGAATTTCACGTGCCAGAAATGCAAAAGCCTTCATTTGCATTTTTCCACAGTATAATGGAGCAGTAATAGTATAATGGATTTATTTAAGGCTGGATTTCCTACAGAGAGAAATTTTTGTCAGAGAGGGCACTCTCCCAAAAAAGGCACCTAGCCAGGCATAGGCTTTCCTTTTCCAGTTGGAGGTGAGAGGAAACTAAAGGAACAATATGCAACTTTCGCTCTACAAATTGTAATTCTGACTTCATAGTAACTAATGGTAGGGAGATTTCTACTCTGAAATTACAGTTTCCACCAATAATAAGGATAATAAGAACCACAGAATCTGAATGCAATCTTTAAAAGTAGTTCTCTGTTTCAGCTAAAATTTCATACTGTCAATGTTTAGAAAAATGAGAAAGATTTCCCATCTAGTGTTTGAGTAATTTTATCTTTCATCAGAAATACCTGGAAAACTACTACAACCTGAAGAGTGATGGCAAGCAAATTGAAAAGAAGAGACACGGTAGCAACCCAGTGGTGGAAAAACTGAAGCAAATGCAGGAATTCTTTGGGCTGAAAGTATCTGGGAAGCCAGATGCTGAAACCCTGAAGGTGATGAAGCAGCCCAGATGTGGGGTGCCCGACGTAGCTCAGTTTGCCATCACTGAAGGGAACCCTCGATGGAAGAACACACACCTGACCTACAGGTAACCAGACTGAGCATCAGAGTGAGAATGCTATTTCCCATCAGAGTCATAAGAAATGAGCTCCGATGTATCTGTTTTTTATTTCATTTTAAGGATTGAAAATTACACACCAGATTTACCAAGAGCAGATGTGGACCAGGCCATCGAAAAAGCCTTTCAACTCTGGAGTAATGTCTCGCCCCTGACCTTCAGCAAGGTCTTCGAGGGTCAAGCGGACATAATGATATCCTTTGTCAGGGGAGGTAAGCTCTTCTTGTGGCATGAAAGTAGTCTCACCTTAACTTCACTTTGCCTTTAAATTGCTTCAGCTTTGCAGCTAGAATTCCTTGTTTAAGAGGAGTGTTAATTTTATGGGCTTAAGGAGTGAAAGTGTATCACATTTGACGGCAGTCTGTTTGCCTCTAAGCAAAGCTAATGCTATCCCTCATTGGTTAGCCTTAAGAAGAACCAAGAGGGACATTTGTTGAATTCTGTCTCTTGTAGATCACCATGACAATTCTCCCTTTGATGGACCTGGAGGAAACCTTGCTCATGCTTTTCAACCAGGCCCAGGTATTGGAGGGGATGCTCATTTTGATGACGATGAAACGTGGACCAGCAATTTCAGAAGTAAGTCAATTAATCTTTCTCTCTCAATTCCCCTACCCTCTTCTTGGTTCATTGTAATATTGGTTGATTTAACTGAAAGAATACATTAATAGAAGTATATATTTTTCTATTACCACTTAGAAATTTGATGATACAGCTAGAAAACTGTAAGAGAAGGATATTTCTGTTAGTAACAACATCTTAGTGGCTACAAATAGGTCACTCTAAAATTTCTATCAAGAAAATGTTGAAAATCTCGATGTTTTCCTTGTGGGAACCTACATAGAATCTTTTTTTTTTTGGTGAGGAAGATCAGCCCTGAGCTAACATCCATGTTAATCCTCCTCTTTTTGCTGAGGAAGACCAGCTCTGAGCTAACATCTATTGCCAATCCTCCTCCTTTTTTTTTCCCCAAAGCCCCAGTAGATAGTTGTATGTCATAGTTGCACATCCTTCTAGTTGCTGTATGTGGGACGCGGCCTCAGCATGGCCGGAGAAGCGGCTCGTCGGTGCGTGCCTGGGATCCCAACCCGGGCCGCCAGTAGCGGAGCACACGCACTTAACCGCTAAGCCACGGGGCCGGCCCCATAGAATCTTTTTTTTTACTAGAGACACACCAAAATTTAGCAGTGTTAGTAAGATTATGTGGAAATTAAGGGAGGAGAGGCTGTACATGTTTTCCAAAATTTCCAGCATTAGGCAAGTAGCAGTTTGCAAACAGGAAAAAAAATTACGTGAATAGAACTCTATTGCTTCTCTGTGATATCATATACGCCATCTAACCATTGACAAGATTGACTAATCTGTGCTAGACTCTCAATCGGCTGAGTTTGCTTTTTAATTGTATCAGTGTCATCATAGAGTTTAGGCTTTGACCTCTCTCTCTTCACTATTAATAATGCCTTCCTCCCACCTTTGGAAAAAAGTTTTATATATATTTTAAAAAGCTATCGAGAAAATGTGAGCATTAGTCCTTGTAGAGTTGTAGATTACTTCTTAATTAAATGTCTCAAAGCTGAAAACATTTCAAATAATTGCAAATGCATTTATTGGCCCTTTTAGATTACAACCTGTATCGCGTTGCGGCTCATGAATTGGGCCATTCCCTTGGACTTGCTCATTCTACTGATATTGGGGCTTTGATGTACCCCAGCTACACCTTCAGTGGTGATGTTCAGCTAGCTCAGGATGACATCAACGGCATCCAGGCCATATACGGTGAGTATAAAAAAAGACATTATGGATAAGGGGCTATTAAAACAGCCATTAACTGTACCCTTTAAGAAGCTGTCTTTCATTGGTTATGTAGTTTCCCAATGCCAGGCAGAACTAACTCCAGATCTCTCTTTGCTTTAGGACCTTCCCAAAATCCCATCCAGCCAACTGGCCCACAGACCCCACAGGTGTGTGATAATAAGCTGACCTTTGATGCTATAACTACGATTCGGGGAGAAGTGATGTTCTTTAAAGACAGGTAAGACACCAATTCTTCTTTGTGTTTTGTATTTGTAATAATAACAACACTCACTACTATGGGTGCCTATGGGCCACTACTATGCTTCACACATTATCTTACATTTTTTACATACATAGTTATAATTATAATTAAATGTAAGCAATTGTTTGCATTTGCACAACATAATGAATTTATAACAGCTTCTTTTCCTCACATGTATTCTGTTATATGATTATCAGAGAAAACACCACTGAAGTAGACAATAAGCCAATATAATCCCATTTTACAGGTCAGTAAAGTAAGGCAGAGAGAAGGAAAGAGATCCTTTCAGGTCACAGAAGTCATTGGTGGCAGAGCAGTAATTTGGTCTTCTGAGCCCTACTCCAGGGCTCTTTTCATTTATACTGCTCTTTATGATGATAGGCATATTAGTACTTTCTTAGGGGAAATCAGTCCTTTTCATAGCACCATCATGCTGGTGAGGGTTGTGTAGCCACCCTTAAAGTATTACCCCTTCCATCCTAGGAAAGACAGCCATTCCAAAGCCTGTGATCATGACAGGTCTCTGTTGCCCCCCCCAAGAAGCCTAGAGAAGGGGAGAAGCCATTGCAGGGAGAATCTCCAAGAGTTCATGAGGACCCTCCCTTGGGGGGATATGGGCAGTCACAATGTGCTTCCCTCCTCAGAGGAGGATCCTAGAACTCCCCCTGCAGCGTGTGGCCTCAAAAAGGCTAGAGTCCCCTCACATGCAAGGGGCAGGCTTGTTCTATGTATCATACTGATTCCTAAAGGATCAGGCAAAATAGTAACATAATCTTTTTCTGAATGATGCAGTCCACGGCACATAGAAAGTAGAGGTGCTCTGAAAGGCTCACTTCTCCTCAGCCACTCTTCTTGGAGTGTTGCTGGTGCAGTTTTATACCTTGTGGTCATATCTACTCCAGAAAGCAGAGTATTGGCTCCTAATGCTTCCCATTCTCTGCTTTACTATTTTGTGTGTGTGTGTGTGTGTGTGTGAGGAAGATCAGCCCTGAGCTAACATCCACGCTAATCCTTCTCTTTTTGCTGAGGAAGACTGGCTCTGAGCTAACATCTATTGCCAATCCTCCTCCTTTTTTTTCCCTCAAAGCCCCAGTAGATAGTTGTATGTCATAGTTGCACATCCTTCTAGTTGCTGTATGTGGGACGCGGCTTCAGCATGGCCGGAGAACAGTGCCTCGGTGTGCACCCGGGATCCGAACCCAGGCCGCCAGTAGCGGAGCGTGCGCACTTAACCGCTAAGCCACGGGGCCGGCCCTGCTTTACTATTTTTGAATGTAGAAGATAAGGCTGAATGTAAACTATAGAGGGTGTGGGCAATGCTGAGGAGTGCTAAGGAACTACATACTTTTTTTTTTTTTTTTTTAAAGGAAGGGAAGAGCCAGTGAAAGACTCAGCCTGCTCTTATTTTTTTTTTTTTAATTTTATTTATTTATTTTTTCCCCCAAAGCCCCAGCAGATAGTTGTCTGTCATAGCTACACATCCTTTTAGTTGCTGTATGCGGGACGTAGCCTCAGCATGGCTGGAGAAGCGGTGCGTCCGTGCGCGCCTGGGATCCAAACCCGGGCCGCCAGCAGCGGAGCGTGCGCACTTAACCGCTAAGCCACGGGGCCGGCCTGGAACTACATACTTTTAAAGGAAAGCTCTCAGTATAGCAGGACACACCTTTCCAAACAAGTCTTTGAGGGATTACTCCAAGGAACAGGACCAAGTCTAGGATTTGCAGGAACTGAAAGTTCACTGAGATCATTTAAATGACATGAAGCCATGAAGACATGAAAGGCTAGAAAGAGTAATGGTAACTGACTTGCCTAAGGTCTCACAGCCAGACAGGGGCAGGACTGGATCTAGAAGTCAGATTTCTAACTGCCAAGGCCATAGTCTTCCCTGTGGTGTGGAATCTGGAAAACTCCACATGACAGTCTATGCTTCACTGTTACCCCAGTCCCTATGGACTGTAGAATCAACTTTGTAAACCACCAATCAAAGGAGGATAAACGGAGTGGCTGCCAGATCTGAGTTTAAAGTCAACCTTCGCTTCTTTTCAGCTGCATGGCCTTAGATACCACCTTTGGCCTCCCTGACCTCAATTTCTCATCTGTGAGATGAGAGTAATATGCTCTTGTAAAGTTTTTGTGAGGTAGGGCACGATGTAGGTAAAGGGCCTAAGTGTTGGAAGTGTGCACTAAATGTAGTATGTTAGCATTGAGTTCCAGCCAGTGGTGTGCTGCAGCTGCTCATAAAGTTTCTCCAAAACCGATTATTAAATTTTGAGAATTTTGCAAGCTGATTGCTAAATACAACCATTATTAAAAGTTAAATTATGTAAACTTACAATTATATTTAAACCAAAAGTAATAAAAATAATCAAAACTCATCCCTTTGTAATTATTTTATGACATTTTACTATTTATTTGTGTTCCTGAGGTTGTTTATGCCTGATGTATTTGTACGGTGGAAATACTATACAATGTGCACTACTGCAAATCTCCTGAAATCTGCCTTAGTGGGAGTGTTTCCACCATGGAAATAAGCAAATGCTACAAACTGTGACTGCTCGCCAGCCCCGTCTTGGAAAGCCAGATGTTAAACATTTACCAGCGCACCACCAGTGCCAGCAATAAGAAGGAGCTGGATGTCAGCCAGAGCTTGCTATCACTTAGATCAAAATCTTCTTTTGTTTTTTTCAAATCAGGTTCTACATGCGCACAAATCCTTTCTACCCAGAAGTTGAGCTCAATTTCATTTCTCTTTTCTGGCCACAACTGCCAAATGGACTCCAAGCTGCTTATGAGGTTGCTGATAGAGATGAAGTCCGGTTTTTTAAAGGTAATGCTTCCAGTTATTTTTCAGTTTTTATGAATAATTTTTCATCTTTTTGGGGACTGATATATAAGAGAGTACTAGCTACCTTCTATCCATGGACTTTTGAAAATCTACTAGTCTCACTTACCAAATCAGTGGGAGTCCATCACCTTAATTAAGAATTGCATAGTGCATTTCTGAGCCATTTTAAACAAAAAGCATATGATTGCAGATATAAATTTTCTGCCTGTTTATGAATCGGGACTTATGAAAGTGTTTTTTGTGCAAACGATTTCTGTATTTTCAACTCTCCACATCCCTGGGGGTGCTCAGCAATAAAATTGAGAGACTCGGGCCAACACTATAGAGAGGATTGAACAGAAACATTTGGGTTGTATGATTTCCTAAAGCCTATTTTAAGTACAAATAATTCTCCTGAGAGAGGGGGAGGCCCCCACTGGGCAGCCAGATAGGGGCGTGCAGCCTTGCTGTCAAAGTATGGTCCTCAGAGCAGCAGCGTTGACATCATCCTAGGAGTCTGTTAGAAATACAGAATCTCATTTAGCATAACGCCCATAAGGTCCATCCACGTTGTCAGGTCTCACTCCAAACCTTGAATTTTAGCAAGATTCCCAGGCAATTCGTATGTACATTAAAGTATGAGAAGTCCTGAATTACCGTGAATTGAATGGGGCAAACTTCTTTGATTCTATCAGAATGAAACATAATCCAATGATCAGCTCCTGGCTTTGAAGACAGTATGCCAAACACCATTATTTCTGCAAATATATGTTTGGCATAGTACAGACAAACATTAAGACATTTGACCCAGTCATACACTCAAGGCAAAGAGTTGAATGCAGTTCAGATGGGCAAAAAACTTTGAAACGGGCTTTCTAGCCCTTATCTCATAAAATTAAACAGGATTTTAGATACACAAAGTTTCAAACTACTTTTTCCTGAGGGGTAAATAAGTATATTTGTGCAATGAGAACAATCCTGGCTTCAAGATATAAGACCAGTTTTATGCGATGCAGGGCCTCCTAAGCATAAACATACAGAATCTGGACACGGCATAAATTCAAGTATTTAGAACTGTATTCTAGTCAGATGCAATGATTTTTATCCAGGGTTGCAAGTCATTGCAGATTGTGAGTCATTACAACACGCTGGCCCTTAGGATACTATTGGTGTGAACTTCCACAGCCCCTGAGCAACCTGGACAAGTGAGTTTTATACCACAGAGGTGGTATAATGAACTCTTTAGTCATGTGAACATCTGGCTTTGGGAAGCAGCCCCCCAGCCCCATAAACCAGTCATTCTCAAAGCTTGCCACAGATTAGAATCATCTAAGAAACTTTAAAATGTACACTGAATTAAGTGGTCTGGGGTAGGACCAGCATCGGTATTTTTAAAAAATCACCCTAGATGATTCTAACCTGCAGTCAGGACACTGCTCTAGCATGTGAGATTAAGAATTTAGCTGGAAATCTGCTTACTGTCTACTGGTGCCCCAGGCAAGTTTTTTCATCCCTGTTTCTTGATTGGCAGGTAATAAGTACTGGGTTGTTAAGGGTCAAGCCATGCTCTACGGATACCCCAAGGACATCCACAGATCCTTTGGCTTCCCTAGAACTGTGAAGAATATTGATGCTGCTGTTTCTGAGGAAGATACTCGGAAAACATACTTCTTTGTTGCTAACGAGTGCTGGAGGTAAAGACTGAGTGCAGAAAATGTTAGGGTCCCAGTTCTTTCAACATAAGAGAAAGTTCTAGATTGAACCAATTTAAAATGAGTCTCATATTGCCTTGGCTAGCTGACTTTTCTATGAATGGCTGTAGCCAGTCCAGCACCCAAGTCTACTGATCAACAATCATCAGGCAATACCTGTCCCAGAAATCCAGGGAGCACGTGGGGCAAAATTTGAAAGAGAAGATGTGAAAAGGAGGGTTTTCATCTTCAGAGAGCTACTTCAGCAAACAAGAACTTATCTTTCATCACGTTTTACCTTAAGACATTGTGCGGCACCTGCTGGAGAATTATAACTAGACGTTGGAGCTCAGAGGGACCTTATAAATCTTCTAGTCCACCCAACATCCTACCTCACTTCATGCCACCTCCCTATTTTAAACATGCTCTATTGAACTCCAAGTTTTTATTACATTCCTGCTGGTGAATTCCCTGTAATGATTTTGAGCATGCTACGTTTAACAAACAGTTCTGACACATGCAATTATTTTTTGACCAGGTATGATGAATATAAACGATCCATGGATGCAGGTTATCCCAAAATGATAGCAGATGAATTTCCTGGAATTGGTGACAAAGTTGATGCTGTTTTCCAGAAAGATGGTAAGTGAATATATATGTATTTTCTCTATTCTGTTGCCATAGAATAGCATCAGTATTGTTATTTAGAACAGCACACACCAAAAATATTTATTCTCACAAATGACTTGGGTTTTTTAAGAATTCATGTTAAACCTAGAAATCATTTGTATAATGTAGTAAGTTTCTTTTGTTTCATTTCCAGGATTTTTTTATTTCTTTCACGGAACGAGGCAATACAAATTTGATCCTAAAACTAAGAGAATTTTGACTCTCCAGAAAGCTAATAGCTGGTTCAACTGCAGAAAAAATTGATCAACTGTTACAAAGTTGAACAGAAAAATATATTTTGAGAACCCAAGGAAGGTGTTTTCCTGAAGAGCCATATATTTAAATACAATACAGAGCTATTAAATATAATCTTTTTTATATCTCATTCTGAAAATATTTTTTATGATTTAGAATGTAATATTTTATATACTGCTATAATTTAGTTACACCAATGAAGGCTAAAGAAGGTCAAATTCATAGATTATGGATTCAGTTTTGCAATAAGAAAAGCTCTTTTCCAAAGTATAACATTCTGATATTGATACCGGAGAGCAGCCTCAGCGATGAACACCTCTCAAGACAGCAAGAGACAAGAGATATGAGTCTTCACCAGAGGAAAAGCAGTTCAAGAATATATAAGCAGCCACTAATATCATCCTTATATGCAAGGGACAACTTTTGTTACAGAAAATAAAATGTTTTATATTTGGAATAAAGTCATCCTTGTCTTTACTCTTCTATAAACTTTCTGTTAACGTTTAAGTTATTATATTCTTATTCCCTGATTATGAAGTCACACTTAGATTAAATTTCAAATTTGAAATGGGAAGTGACAAATATGCAAAATATTCATGTGGGAAATTAGGATATACCAAAAGTTCAAATATTCTCCATTCTCATGGAATTTATATCATATAGAAGAGGGAAAATCTATTTCCCATGTCCCATATAAGGATTCCAAAATTGGTTTTAGGTAAAAGCAGGGACAGCATGGTAGAACTTTCTAAGGGCATATCCCTTTCTCTTCTTCTGAGCACATGGGAGGGTTACGTTTTCCCACAGTCCAATTCCCTGCAGTTGTTGGGGAAGTGGGAGGTGGGCAGTGACACCTGACTAGTCCTGGCTGGTGGATTATGCCCAGAAGTGACCAAGATCACTCCAGATGGAAACATTTGATTGCTGGTGCAAATTTCTCCAGTGGTCTCCCCTCTCTGCTATGGTGATTGTAGAAGCAGTTATTGAGAGCACTTCCGCAGAGGGAAGAAGCCTGAATTGCTGGGCCAACACTCCAGTTACCCCAAGCCTCAGTAGCTTTTGCCTAAGAAATAAACTTTTCTTGTGCTAAGCCACTAAGATTTCAGATTTTGTTAAAGCTGCATTATCTAGATTTTCTAGACAAGCATTGTCTAGTTCATCATACCTAATTTGGGAGGATGATGATGTAGGGAGGAGTCATGCAGGTAGTTTCCAAGCCCCATGAGTTTTATGAGTAGCTCAGAGGGTGCTCAGTTTGCAGACTTTCCCAGTACATAGACAGTCTTGAGAATATTTTGAGGGACTTGTGATTCTGGGGCAGGCAGTTCTCAACTCAAGAATTTGGAAAGCAGTCTAACCTCTCCTTTGGCCAAGTCTCTCTCTCTCTAATAAACATTTTTATATTGAAGTAAAACATAAATGCAGAAAAACGCATATATCACAAATTTTCATTTCAATGAGTTATCATGAAGTTAACAACCCCATGTAACTCTCACCCAGCTCAAGAATTAGAACATTACCAGCACCATAGCAGGACCCCCGAGTTCCTCCCATCACAGCTCAACTCTGTCTTAGCTTAGTTCACTGGAACCAGAGCCTGAAACAGAAATTCTTTGGTGTGGTCGTTATGGGTGGAGTGCTCTCCGGAGAAGAGGAGTGAGAGAAACAATTTAGAGCAGGGAAAAAGCTAAAGAATGCTAAACAATGTGGTCTCAGACAGAGATTGCTGTGATCTCATGAGCAAGGAGCTCTGGAGCAAAAACTGAATCACAGTTAGTCCCACCTTGAGGCAAAGGAACTGGCCTTTTGTAGCCCCGTGTCAATCAGTCATCAGTTGAGGTCTGATCTGGCAAGAGGGGCATAGCTCCCAGGCGAGATGGCTCCCATTTGGCAAAGAAACAAGGAACAACCCTATCATAATCCCACTCAATTCATTATTCCAGTTCTTGCAAAAACCAAATGGATCATGGTCGATGATGGTAGATTTCTGTAAACTCCCCTAGCCGGTAGCTCCCATTCAGTTACTGTGTGTCAGACATGATTTCTTTACTGGAGCAAATCAATACAGCCTTAGAATCTTGGTATGGAGTGATTGGGGAGCAGTGTTTAGAGATTTCCCTTACTTTCTATGAGCCCAGATGCACTGAGAAGTAGAGTATTTGCTTGTTCGTGTTTTGTTTGGTTTTAACCCAAAATCCAGCTTTTCTACTTGGACATCTATTGGAGAATTTAGTCCCAAACACTACTATAAGGGGAAGTAGTAGCTTTTTCTTTCTAGACTTTTCCCATGTATGTTGAAGGGGCAGCACTCTGGCCAGTAAATTGTAGTGCAAAGCCAGAAGACCTGCTCTGCCACTCAAGTCTCTGTGATCTTAAGCTAATGATTTGGCCTTTCTGAATTTTAATTTCCTGTCTATGATAAAGGGAAAATAATACTAACTCTCAGGGTTGTCATGAGAATGAACAAGGCTAAATCACCTAGCATAAAGCCTGCCATGTAGAAAACATTACATAAATGATAATTGCCTTTTCCTCCCCACATTCTCCCAAAGCCAGAATTCTTCATCGTTGTTACTCTCCTGCCTAACAAGCTTCTTCCCACCAAAAATAGTCCACCATAGCAATGAACCAACTGAACAATGAACCCTAATCCAAATTGAAGATATAGTAACATTATTTTATGTATCCAACTATTTTTAATAATAATGGCTATTTTAGGTTACAATATATAGTCATGCTTTCTAACATTTACAACAAACACTGAAGCCACGATTCTGAGATATGTCTAACTCTTACTTTGACAATTTGCCTCCTTCAGTCGACTGTCCTTCTTACGGCAAGGACTAGTGACCTAAAATATTTAGCTAAATTACTCGGAGGGAAATAAAATGGGTAAAAATTCAGCAATAAACTGTGTTCCCATTCTGAAGCAGTCAAATTGGTATTAGAAGCATGGGAAAAGAGGTGGATTTCTCACTTGTTCTTGGTCCGTGACTTAGCACAATAA